CACATGGTTCCCAGACATTCTCCAGGTGCAACCCTGGAGGGTTCGACCCCAGCAGAGCTTTGGGCCTGCAATCACTGGCCCAATTGGCCAAGAGTCACTGGTGGGACCCTCCAGACATCCTGAGCCCCCAACAACAAATACAACATTAATACCCTAACAAGTTTGGTTACAAGAAACAGTTTTACCTTTTAACATAGCATGCAATATAAACTAACTGGAAAGGGAAGGAACTCCTCCTATAAAATTCCATTTTAAAATAAATTTGGCGGGGGGGGGCAAGAGGAGGTGGAGGCAGAGAGATAGTGCAGTGGGTTGGGCATTTGCCTTGCAAGTGGCAAACGTGCGTCCAATTCCCTGCATCCGATATGAGCCCTGCCAGCAGTGATCTCTGAATGCAGAGCCAGAAGTAAACCCAGGTGTGACCCCCCAAACCCAAAATGATAATAATAAAATAAGTCTACCCTGGTGCTGGAGCAATATCACAGCGGGTGGGGCACTTGCCTTGCACGCAGCCAACACAGCTGACCCGAGTTCGATTACTCCGCCCCTCCAGGAGAGCCCGGCAAGCTACCGAGAGTATCTTGCCCTCGCAGCAAAGCCTGGCAAGCTACCTGTGATGTATTCGATATGCCAAACACAGTAACAAGTGTCACAATGGAGACGTTACTGGGCTCGCTCGAGCAAATCGATGAACAACGGTGTGACAGTGACAGTGACCCTGGTGCCAGGGATTTATGGTGTAGAGTTTGATCCCCAGCAATGAATTAAAGATACCAACCCCCTGACGGTGTTTTCTAAAGTCACTCTATCAAAAGGACACCCAGGCAAGGCCTCGAACCAGCCCTGGGCATTTCAGGCGTTTGTGGTTTTCAACTGTCGCTACCAGTCCGGATGAGTCTGGGTGGGCAAGTCCCCTGTGATGAAAGCACACAGCCAGGCCCAGCACAGTGATGGCCGTGCTGCCCAGAAATCGCTTCCAGCCAAACCCTCCCTGCCTGTGGCTGCTCCTGCCTTTCCAGGACCCTGACCAAACCCCCCCCAACCCTACCGAGCTGTCCGTATATGAGCACATGAGCAACAGTCTCCAGCTGACTTAATCCAGAATTCAGAAGGAAAGGTCCAATAACTTTCTATTCCTCTACTGTTGATACCCCATGGAAGCCACCAGATGACGTCATGGATGGCATTCCTGTCACTGGTGTCCCTCCTGAACCATCAATGAAAACCTGTCTCTATCTGTCTCAAAGCACCTCTGCAAAGCACCCAGCCTGCACCAGGCTCACTGTAGGCATGCAGTTCACTGTTCCGTCCACTTGAACAAAAGAAAAAAGGGGGGTGTCAGAGATGCAAACTCCCAGGCAGGGAGCTGAAAATCCACTGTCCATATCCAAGGAAGCAGGAAGGGTTGGGCCCTGGGCAGTCCCTTGCAGGCAGGCATGACAAAAGGCCCTAAACAAAGAGTGTGCTCAGAGCTGGCCAAACCAAGACAGCTGGAATGTGGATGGCCAGCAAGGAAGGAAAGGTGAAGGGGTGCAGAGGGCTGGGCTGGAAGCACATCTCAGTTGCCACTCAACCTCCCTGCTCCTGGGGCTGCGGTCGGATGGAATCACCAGGACGCACCGCCCAGCTGCGGTCCTGGACAGGTCATGAGCTGCTCGAGCCACTTCTCCGCGTCTCTCAGCTGCAGACGCCACCTCGGGGCAAGTCAGGTCTGGATTCTTTGAGTCTGAACCCTCTCTAGGTCCGGTGTCCCTCTTCCCGTAGTCACATACCTTCATCATTCCTCCCAGGCGAACTTACTGGAACACCCAACGAAAGCTGCTGTTTCAGAACCGGAGAGGGAAGGCTAGAACACACACTTTCAACATGAGAGGTGCGTGTTCAAACCTGGCCCGGCACCATCTCCCAAACCGCCATCGGGAGCACCACGGTGGGAGGAGTCCCCGAGCACCGCCAGACAGGGTGCCAAAACCAAACACCAGAAGAGAAAAGGAAAAGAACATAAACCAGGAGACACTGATATTGCCACGGGCACAGGAGGGATGGGACGCAGCAGTTGTAGTGTGCAGAGAACGGGAGACCCATTCAGAGCCCTGACTGCAGGCAGGCACCAAGCAAACAGCACAGCACACTTGCCCCCCCCCCCCCCCCCCCCCCCCCCCCGCTGCTGTTTCCTTTCCCACCAAAAGCCAAAAGGGCTGCTGCAGGCACAAGCCATGCAGGGAGATATCAGGTAGGGTGTTTGCAGCCAGAATAAGTCCACCCAACCCGGGGAAAAAAAAAGGGGGGGGGAGGGAGCTGGAGCAATAGCAAAGCGGGTAGGGCGTTTGCCTTGCATGCAGCTGACCTGGGTTGGATTCCCAGCATCCCATATGGTTCCCCAAGCACCACCAGGAGTAATTCCTGAGTGCATGAGCCAGGAGTAACTCCTGTGCATCGCTGTGTGTGACCCAAAAAGAAAAAAAAAAAAAAACCAAAAACAGTAAGTCCTCCCAAGCTCAGAGCGTCGGCACCAGAAGTATGCGCTAGTCAGAAGTAATGGGGGGTTTGGGCCACACCCAGCTGTGCTCAGAGCTTACTTCTGGATCTGTGCTCAGGGATCACTCCTGGTGGACTCAGGGGACCATCCATCGGGGGTGCTGGAGATGGAATCCAGGTCTGATGAGTGCAAGGGAAGTGCTCTATCCCTTAACTATCTCTCTGGCCCCTAGCCAGAAGTTTCCGTTACTGCTCCCGTTCTATACTCCCTCCACCCAAGGCTTCTTGGCACTGCCTCCTGCTTCCAGTCCAAGAGGGGTCCCGGGGGGTCAACAAGGTCAGCTCTCGCTTCCTTCAATGCCTCCCTTGCAGCCTACTACAGAGGATCTCTCCGTGAACTCTCAACTTCTCCCCTTGGCATTGGTTGAGAGCCTCTCCCCTCTGGCCTCTCTGCCCCTAGACCCATTCTGCAGCCTCAGCTGCTTCAGCCACACCCAGCAGCGCTCAGGGCTTACTCCTGGCTGTGTGCTCCGGGATCACTCTTGACAGTGCTCAGGGTACCGTATGAAGTGCCAGGAACTGAACCCGAGTCAGCAACCTGCAAGGCGAGCGCCTTCCCACAGCTGTATCATCTCCCCCGCCCTAGGGAGATCTTGTCAGAGCTCCCCTCTCTAGGGCTGGTGGAAAAGGTGCAACACTTAACCAAAACAGGGGCCTCTTGTCTGGAACCCACAAACATGGGAAACCCCAGCTCGTGTACAAAACAGTCCCTTCCCGACTCACTGGCCTCACATTCCCGGGAAAGTCCTGAATCCGCTTGTTCCCGCCGACCCACCGCGGGCCTGCAAGTGGCCGGTCCCCTGCGCCAAGTCCGCAGCAAGACGGAGCAGCCGCCTGCGGAACCTCCAGGCTCGAGAGCCTCCGCTTTAGTCTATTCTCAACGAAAAGAACTTAACAGAACCGGATCCCAATAATATCTCTTGCTGATGAAGACTTTTTCCTGGAGTGATCTTTAACCACAAGGGTGAGTTTCCCCGACGAGGTCCCCTTCCTCCCCCCCACCCCCCACTCCCCGCCACCCCCTGGTCGAGGCTCCCGAGCTTCCCCCCCTCCCCGCCCCCATCTCCCAGTGCCCACCTCCACCCACACAACAAGACTGGCCGGCACAACTAAAGCTCTCCAGGCGCCTGTGCTACGGCCCCGCCCACTGCCCCCAGGTCCGAGCTCCCAGTTCTGGTCTCCAGCAGACCTGTCCAGGGGCCGCCGGGGTCAGAGGGCTCATTACACACACACACACACACACACACACAGACGTTAGCCGGGCTTCGGATCGGACCCAAAGGGCACGGATCAGGAGGTGTCCCCCGCCACCAAAAGGGGGTCCTGGCCCGTCCAGCCAGGGCAGCGGCCGGCCGCGGAGGGAAAGAGCCCCTCCCCCTTCCCGCACCCCGCCCGGATCTGGGCCCCCGAGAGACGCAGCTGTCCCGAGCGGAGGGCTGAGCCCGAGAAGGCTGCAGACACTTACTCGGAAGGTTATTCATAGTTTCACTCCCAGTCCTTCCCCCAAGCTGCGGCGACACCTCCCGGCCTCTGGCTCGGACCGCACAGCGCCCACCAGCCCGGGCGCGACGACTCTGCAGCACCACCCACCCGCCTTACTCCGCCGTTGGGCGGGGCCAAACCTCGATCCGCCCAATGAGAGGCCGCCCTTATCCGGAGTGACGTGTGCACAGAGCAATCACGGAACCCATCCTGCCGAAGGGGGCGGGGAGGAGAGGCTCAGGCGGCGCCCGGCGCTTCCTACTCGGGCTTGACCAGAGCCTCCTAACTGCGCATGCCCGGGACTGGAGAGAGCGTGGCCAAGAGCTGATCTGACACTTGGGGGCGGTGGGGTCCCAGGCTGAAATGCTGCCTGACCCCGCGTGGGGCGGCGGCGAGGTGGGGGATGGGGAGCGGGGGGTAGGGAAGACCCGAGCTGCGCCGTCGGGGCGTGCCCTCTGCGGCTCAGTTTGGAAAAGCGAAGTGCCGGCTTCTAGCGGCGCAGCGCCCAGCGTCCCTGGGTTCTGCTGCCCTCACTTTCGTGGACACCGCGCGTAATCTCTCCCCTGCGGACTCAGTTTCCCCCGTCCACGTGTAAAGGAAGACTGGCTCTGGCCAGCGCTGGAACTCCCCGGCTGTAAGGGCGCGCGAAGGAGAGGGAGTTAGAGGACCTCCACGTGACCTCCCCGCAGGCGCCCCGCCTCTCCCGGGTCCAGGGGCTGGATGGACGCGCGCGGCTGGGACGGGCGGGGGCGCGTGGATCCGAAGAAACCGCTCGGCGCCGTCCTTGACGGCGGCCGAGGGCCGAGCGCGCGCCTCCCGGGCCGGCCAGCCCCCTGGCGAGCGCACCGTTTGGAGGAGGATGGGGGCCGAAACTTGGGCCGCGCGGGGTCTCACCGCGGTGGCGAGGGCCGTGTGACGGGGCTCATCCCGGCAGGATGGTTGAGGGCACCCGAGGCAGCAGCTAATCCGCTCCGGGTGTGCGGGGGCGACCGTCGCGGGTCCAGAGCGGGATCCGGCTGCCGTCGCGGCCGCGTGGACGTCGTGTCCCGGCCATGTGGAGCGCACGGGCCGCGCCGGGCCCGGGGGGTGGCCACCGTCGGAGCTGCCCGGGTCCCGCCGCGCTGAGTCGGGCTTGAAAGCCGAGAGGTGGCGCGGGCGGCGGCGGCGGCGGCGGCGGCGGGGGGCGCACGGCCATGGCGAGAGCCGAGTGCAAGGCGCTGCTGGACGCGCTCAACCGGACCACCGCGTGCTACCACCACCTGGTGCTGACGCTCGGCGGCTCGGCCGACTCGCAGGACCTGCGGGAGGAGCTGCAGAGGACGCGCCACAAGGCGCAGGAGCTGGCGGCGACCTGCTGTGTCGGGCTGACGGCCGCCCTGCGCGACCGGAGCCTGGACGCCCAGGAGCGCGCCGAGTTCGAGCGCCTCTGGGTGAGCTTCTCCGGCTGCCTGGACCTGCTGGAGGGCGACATGCGGCGCGCGCTGGGGCTGGCCGCCGCCTTCCCCCTGCACGCGCCGCGGCGGCCGTTCGTGCGCACCGGCGTGGCGGGCACCACCAGCGGCGTGGCGGCGCGCGCCCTGAGCGCACGGAGCCTGCGGCACGCGGCGGCGGCGGCGGCGGCGGCGGAGCACGACTTCGAGGGGCAGGACCTGCGCGAACTGGAGCGGGAGCTCCTGCAAGTGAGCGAGATGATCCAAAGCATGGAGATGAAGGTCAACGTGCCCCGCTGGACCGTGCAGGCCAGGCAGGCTGCGGGCGCCGAGCTCCTGTCCAGTGCCAGCGCCGGCGCCTCCTCCGGGGGTGGCGTGTCGGTAGGAGAACGCCGGCGGCCCTGCGACCTCAGCAAAGCCACGGCCGCCGCCGTTTTCAGCGCCGTGCTGCTGGCCGCGGTGGTGCTGGCCGTGTGCGTGGCGAAGCTGAGCTGACCGACGCCCCGAAGGCCACCGACCGACCGCCGCCGCTTCCTCCCCGGTGTGGGATGGGGGGTGGGAGGAAACACAAGAAAGAGCCAACTGCCAGGGCTCGGGGACGCGAGTGGGACCCAGCTTGTGTAAAAGGGGGCGACTCTTAAAGCGCGGTTCTGTCCGCGTCTACACGCGCGTGTCGGACACACATCTGCCTGGGCAGAAAGAATTCGTTGTTCCTCTTCCTGACCCGTGAGTTCATTTTTCATGGGCCGCCTCGGCATTAAGGCGTATGCAGGAGCTTTAGCTCCTATTAATAGGAAACGGTCCACGGTGACCCCAGATTTCACGGAGTTAATGGATTACCACGTGTGCTCTCCGAGGCGTGTTTACAGAGTCCACACTTGGTGGCCCTGCCGCTGCGGGTAACACCCCCTCCCCCTGCTGCCCCAGCTGTTTGGGAAGCAGCTCACGATGAAATGAAGCTGGCCAGGGGGTGTACTTTACCGCTTGGAGGGGGGGTGGTGTTTCCGGAACAAGAAGCAAGCACACGGTTGTCATGTAAGCGGGTTTTATTTACCTTAATCCCCCACGGTCTAAGCTTAGGGGAGTGTGCAAATAGCGGCTCAGAAAGCGAGTGCTTTCTCTAGGCACAGATTCCCTTTCAGGCAGAGTTGAGCCATTAGTCACCAAAGCAGCAGAAGAGGTTTGGAGTCGTGACACTCAGCACAGTGTCTGCTCAGGAAACCAGGGGGAGATGCGAGAGCTGCCCTCCCGGGCTGGGGTCCCCTACACCAGCAGCCTATGGGAAAGGGCTGGCCCCAGCTGGCCTGGGAGTTGTAGCAGAGGTTTGGAAAGGGTCACGTGCTATTTAAGCAGGCACTTCTCTTTGGTGGGGGCTTATTTTTGTTCCAGAACTAGCCCAGAGTGTTTGATCCTCCTTTGGGAGGGCTGGGCGAATCCTCTTTGGAGCCCTTAATCCTATCTATCCCTTGGAATTTGTGTGCAGGCCAGCAGAAGAGGCAGTTTCTGAGATAGTACCCCAACTGTGCCCCTCCTCTTTCCCCCCAAGCTAACGTGGTGTCACTACTACACAGAGGTTTTCAGCCAATGAGCTCCTGAGGGTTAGAGGGAAACCTCTTTCACCTGGAATTTAAGAAGCTTTTTAACAATAAAAATTATTTGCAGAGGAAAAAAGTCGTACACTTGTAGATGATTTTGTATCAAGGACATGTGGCTTTGGATTCATGGAACTTTGGCTTGTGGAGTCAAAGGTGATTATAATCACAGACAGGTGATTATAAACTTAAGTTACAAAATAGATAGCTATACCCATTTGTGGCGGAGGAGGGGTGGTTTGGGGGGTTGGGTTGCAGTTTTACTTTTGTTTGGCTGGTTGGTTTTTGTGTAGGGGCTACACCTGGCATTGCTCAGGAGTTACCCCTGGCTTTGCTATCAGGAATTACTCCTGGCAGTGCCCAGGAGGCCATAGGGGATGGCCAAGGGTCGAACCCTGGTCAGCCTCATGCAAGGCAAGCACCCTACCTGCTGTACTATCAATTAGGTTCAAGCTACACCCATTTTAAAAATGAATCTTCCTGAGGGCAAAGCACCCATGGAGCTATCAGGTGTCAGGTGCCACCTGCTTCACCGGGTCAAAAAGGACAGAAGTCCTCTGGGTCCCTGGCTGGAATGTGAGCCACATCGCCACGCCCCACTTCTCTGCAGAGAACAGTGCTGGGGAGGGAACAGCCTCATTGACCTTGACAGGTAATTTGGAATAACACCTAGAGACCAGTTTGGCTGAAAGAGGACAAGGATTTCTTGTTTCCTCTTTCAGCCGAGCAGAGAAAGAGAGAGAGAGAGAGGAGGGCCAGGAGGAAGAAGCTCTCACAGGGCAGTGTGGCTGGCAGGAAGAGAGCAGCAGGCTGCCAAGGTGGCACCAATCCTCTCATTTCCAACCCCACCCAGCACCCTTCCCCTCCGCCTCAGCCGAAGGAATGTTTTTCCAGGAGTCTGTCTTGCCTTCATGGACGCAGATGTGGCACCTTAGCTAACCAAACTCAGAGATCCTTTTGGTGTGTCTGTGATTGTAGTTTGAAAAGATCCCCCAGGGTCTTAAACCATCTCAAAATTTAATGAAAATACCTCAGGTCAGGGAATTTCTCCCTCATCTGGTCTAGGTAAATGTGAACAGAGGCCAGGCCACGTTCTTTTGCACCAGATAATGCTTCTAACTCCCTTCCTCCTCCTGTGCACAACATGACAAGGAATCTGTCCCCTCCCTCCGAGCTGTAGCTCTCTCTCATACCAGAGGAAACTGGGGCACTGTGATGCAGTGTTGGAAAATATCCCTAAGAATCCAGCTCCAAATACATCTTTCTATTTCTAACACTGTGGATTCTGTCCCGATCAATATATTTTTGTTTGTGGAACAAGTAAGCTATTCTTTCAGCAGAACTTCTTAAAGGACCAACCCCTTAGACATGGGAACATCTAAGGAGAACAATCGGGATAGATTCCTTTGTTGTTGTTCTTTATACCACTTGACAGATTCGTGGGTATTTGCTGCTGTGTGAAGCCAGATGTGTACCTTAGTCAGAGCCTTTTCTGCCCACTGAAATTACAGTGATCAAATGTTATGCATACAAAAGGAGAAAGCTGAACTTGTAACGAATCTATTTATCCTGTGACCTATTAACAAGAACAACTCTCTTAAGTTTGGAAATTGTGAGAGTTCAGAATAGTTGGCACCACTTGGAGCTGTGACTTTGCGTCACCGCACTAAAGTCCTCTATGCCACAAGTACAATCACTTTCAACTCGAACAAAGGCGTCTCTAGCAAGCTCTTGGCTCTCATTTCTTCATAGAATCCAAGAGATTGCTTTCTGAGGGAAGCCCCGTTCGGTTTAGATGTTTAATAGCTAAGTCGTTAATTTTATAAAAAAAGCATTTGGTTCTTATGCCAGATTTCAAGTAATAGAAGACACAAAGATGCAAAGGTGTTAAGATCAGGTAGAAATGATGAGGTTATAGTTAGTCTATGACACAAAGAATCCACTTGCCCAAAATTAAGGCAAGATTTACTCTTTATTTCCAAAGTTAAGGGCTATTAGAAATATCCTGCAATGTTAAATACCTGTGCAGAGAAAACATCCCTGAAGCCAAGAACTTGGACATCAAAGCAGTTATGGAGACTTTGTTTGCTAGGCAAACGGTCTAAAATAGCACTAGCGGCCAAAATAAACGAAAAGACTCGTGATGCTTGTCGGAGAAAATTTGTCTGGCAAATTACCTCTTTTTCTACAATGTGGGGGACTGAACCCAGGGACCCTAGATACATTCAAGCACTCTAACACTGAGGAACAACATCCTCAGTCCAGTAGATGGTTTTTTTTTTTAGATTTTTTTTAATCATTTTTTTTTCTTTTTTGGGTCACACCTGGTGATGCACAGGTATTACTCCTGGCTCTGCACTCAGGAGTTGCTCAGGGGACCATATGGGATGCTGGGAATCAAACCCAGGTCGGCCGCGTGCAAGGCAAACGCCCTACCCGCTGTGCCATCGCTCCAGCCCCCCAGTAGATTATTTTTGATGTGCTCTAGGAATTCATGCTTTAAATGCTTCCAGAGAAAATGTATTTTGGCAAAAGAGAGCCTACGCATCGCAGATTTACCTAAGGGTTTACAGTGAGCTCCATGAGAGCTGTGTGACGCACAGGACTAAAAGGGGTGTTATGTGTAGAGATTTTGGTTTATATGACAGCCCTGAGAACAGTGCATTTCCCACAGCAACTTGCATTTCGATAATGTTTTTTAAGTACTTGGTTAACTATCTGAGATAATTATTTTATAATGAAATAATTATATTGTATGCTGTTGAAGGGTGCAAGCCCCAAAGCGTGAGCTTGTAAATCAGCCTGAGAAATAAAGTACTGGTGGACTGGCCTCTGCATTCCTTGGGGTGTGGTTGGGGCTTCTCCTCCTGCAGGACCCAAGACGTGAGCAGCTGTGATGAGCAGATTCTGGCTCAGACAAGTCTATCCTTGAAGTGCCTCACTTCCCTCATTTGTGTAATGAGGGAGGGGTGAGGATGAGAGGTTCACTCACTGACTGATTCACTCAAAAGTCCCTTGCAGACTGAAAACATTTAACAGAATGCTGTTAAAGAAGAAAGGGTTGCGGCCAGAGCGATAGCACAGCGGGTAGAACATTTGCCTTGCATGCGGTCAACCCGGCTTTGATCCCTGGCATCCCATATGGTTCTTCAAGCACTGCCAGGAGTAATTCTTGAGAGCAGAGGCAGGAGTAATCCCTGAGTATCACTGGGTGTGACCCAAAAGCAATAAATAAATGAATGAATAAGCATTATTTTACTTTTTGTTATTGTTGATCACGATCACGATCACGACCATCCTGTAGTTCGTCGATTGCCTCGAGCAGGCCCCAGTAACGTCTCCTTCGTCCTAGCCCTGAGATTTTTTTTAAAAGTGCCATATTCAAGGCTCTTTCAGGGTTAGGAGAATGAGACCCATCATTGTTACTGGTATTTGGCATATTGGGTACGCCATGGGGTGTTTGCCAGACTCTGCCGTGTGGGCAGGTTACATTCGGTAGCCTGCCAGTTTGTCCAAAGTAGGAATGAGATGATAAGATGTCGCGTGGCCACGATGTATGACAAAATATTACAGTTAGTAGTTATTTTCTAAAATTAGTCTCTTGAAAAAGTTCCATATAAATGTTCAAACTTACTGTGATTCTGTGTGTGTGTGTGTGTGTGTGTGTGTGTGTGTGTGTCATACCCACGACCTCTCATAGAAAGAAAGTGCTCTACTGATAAGTTTACATCCCTAGCCCATTATTTTAGTCCATGGTAGAATTAGTGAATAGACTTAATATTATCTTGTATAAATTTCCACTTGTTGTTTTTAAATTAGAAGTTTAAAAATCATCCTTTTTCAGTCTCAGACCAAGAAAGCCTCCTCTTTACTAGGCAGGTTGTTTTACCCAGCAATCAGGTCACT